GATAGCTGAGTTTACAACCCGGATATCCGATTATCCGCGGATAACCCGGGTAATATCCAACCCGGGTACCATCACTAGGTTTGTATTCAAGTTAAAATATCTTGACAAATTATTATATCAACATAGGGTAAAAAGCAAAATACATATAGATATCGACTGGCACTTTATTTTGAATCAAAAATCTCGAAATTGATAACAAAGTGTCAGACGGTGGTTTTCCTAGTCCATAACCCATCTATCCTGTATTATTGCTCCGGCCTATTCCGACCCATAATTTTAGTCGATCTGTTGCTCCATTGATCAGAAATCACGGAATCAGATTGTAAACATGGAATGTGTCAAGAATAGCACGAAATGTAGATATCACAGAAGGTAGAGATTTATAGCAGGATCTATAATTTTTTATAGTTAAGTATAACTTCCGAGAAGTTCCAGCGTAGAAAAAACGAGCGTGGTCGAGCTAAAATTTGTTTGGTTTCCGTAATAATCCGAAGAATAAGCAAAATTGGTCGCAGAATTCTTAAATTTTAGTCATGGACGGAATCGACAGTTTATCACCGCAGAAAACCATTCCTTATTCTGAGGGGTGTGGTTATATTGTAGAAGAGTTTGACTGTGTAAAATTTCTATTATCATTTGATTCTTTATCAAAAACTTTAACAGACATGGACGCCTAGCAACTGATATACTGTATTCGATCTTAACGTTTGAGAGAACATTTTAAAATTCCGAGTTTAAAATAGTCTAAAGCATCAAAGTTAAATAGGTCATTACTAAGTGCTCTATCTCCATTAAAGGATTAAGCATTATTATAAGCGCGTACGTATGTACGTTCATTAATACTATTTTCTTTTACGAAAGAACTAGAATAACTGGCACAGGTAAAAAAAAAAAAGCAAAATTTAGCCTGCCATTTTGCTAAAGCTTGTGTAACTTTGGCTTGTAAGATCACATTAAACACTAGAAAGAGTATAAGACCACTTCAAACGTCTAATTTCATGATAACCTATTGAAATCAATATTGTGCAATTGAGTATTTTGAATATTTATTGTACATCTTGTTTGAGACATCTTGTTTGAGATATCTGTATTTTTTTCCTTTTCTTTGTTTTTTTTTTTACATATATATTAACAAATGACTATATGCAATAACTAAATATAAACAATATTAATAATTGCAGATACCTTGATATATATTTGTTAAAATGCTCCCCCCCCCATCAACTTATTTTTCAAAAAAGGGAGTTATACATTATCATTTTTATATTTATTACAAATATCTCTTCATTTTCTTGTTCTACGCATTCTTGCCATCGTCTGTTTCAGATGTCTATAAGGGTCATCTGTTTTTTTAGAACGTGCAATTTGAATTCTTGCTTGTGGCAGAACATCATAATCAAATGTGGATTGTAATGATTGACGTTCTTCCGAAGCACTAAAATATTATGATTCATTAATAAAACCTATTGTTCAAAAATAATTCATTAAAAATAATAAAAAGATATAAGAATACATACTCAATTGTATGATGAATCGGTGCTCTTATCCTACAGGATAATAAAATATACTTAGTATATAAACTTGGTTAACATTCAAAAGAAAGTAATGTAGAAAGATTACTGTTCAGGATCATATTCAACGCGCTGCAATTGTCTGTCTTTGTAGTTAACGGAGATTCCAAGGATTGGTTGACCCCATTTATTAACCAAATTAGTAGCCATTCTTTTAATATGTTCTGTGCTGCGTGGAGATTCCTGATAAAAAAAAACAATTCTTCCAATTTTGCTAGAAAGGAGGTGGTCAATATTGATCGGATACTAAAATAAAGAAATTTTAATCGTAAAAAATATGGATACAAATTTATTAAATTAAA